AAAAAAAATTTTTCACATAATATTCGTTAATTAAAGAAGTCTCTTTCCTCGGTGTCTATCTCTACCGCCACGTTGGTTTTCGAAACGCGATCCACAGACCAAAACCACTTCTGTATATAGTTTACTTTCATAGTTAATTCATAATTGGATTCTTGATGCATAACGCGCCATTTTCAATGGTTTTTTTTAAGCAAAATCTTGTGAACACGCGAAATATAAGTAAACCGACAAAGAAAAACCATATTTACGAATATTTAAATGTATATACTGTATATACAAAATGGCGTACGCCACAATCTTAATCACGATTACCGCGTGCAGAAAAATGACGTAAATTTGACGTCATTTTCTACACACAAAAAGTTAAATTTAACTTAACACACACTAGTCTTGAACAATGAGTGAGTGAGTCGATACAATTTATCGAATCAGTAGTGATGTTTCAGTAACTCGAGTCTTAGCATTTAGTTGTTTCGAAACATTCACTCAATTTTAGTGGCTTCGTATCTCACTCGTGGACTTAATGACTTATTTTCTAAAAGTCAATGCTTATATCATCCTGCGGGGATTAATTAAAACAGGAAAAAATCCAATCGTCTAACTGTTTACGTAAGCCTTTTTTAAATTGCAGTATGTTTTGCTTTACCGAATAATGTTGAATATCCGCTTCTGATATACATGTACTTGACTGGCCTCTTCCTGCGTTTAACCTCTGCTATAATATATAAACTATTAAATCAGGCCAGATGGCCGAGCGGTCAAGGTGACACCCTACCGCTCTGAGGGACCCGGGATCGAATCCGGACGAGTCAAGGAATCCCCAGGAATTTTTCGGGGGTGGTCCGTCCGGATATGTCGGGCCCCGTCCCTGACCACCCGGTCGGCCCATTGTGGGCCTGGCCGTACCCATAATGGGCTTGCAAAAAGAGGCCCTCTTAGTGTCCACAGGGCGGAAAAAGTTTAAAAAAAACAATTAAATCTCACTTTACTTTACAAAGCGATGATAATTGAACTGTTACTAATGAAATAATAAAACACCGTTTCTTTGATATTTTCAAGAAGTGACGTTATCATAAAAAAGACATCAAGATGCAAGTATAGGTTAGGGTGTTTCAAATTTTTACAAGATATTATTATTATTTATTGTGAAATTTTTCCGCCCCCTAAAAAGTGCCGCCCGGGGCGGGCCGCCCCTGCCGCCCCCACTACGGTACGCTACTGAAAAAAAAAAACAGTTTTGTTGAATTATAATAAAAATCTTTATTTATAAAATATTTAAGTTTAAAAAAACTATGACACTTGCTCAAAGTTAAAAATTGTGTGGAATAATCTGTTACAAGATGTTATTACAAAATAACTTTTATGTTATAAATTATAGTAATAAGTCAAAAAAGACTTAATTTTGAAGGCAAAACGAAGTTTTTAAAAATATTGTAAGTGTCAATAACGAGTAAACTTTTCATTAAGTCAGATCTTACACGAGATATAACACATCAACCTTCTGTATTCCCACTTCGATTGTTTTTGTGTTATGTTATGGCAACACAACACTCGGGAAATCTGCCTAAGGGAATGCCTTCTGGAAGGTCTTTTTAAGGATAACTGATCCCTACTCAGGCGTTACAGATATGGAGAAAAACCCAGAAAACTGCGCGTGACCAGCCTGTCCACGACCGAACTTTCAATGTTTAGGGAACTGGGCAGTCTGTCCGAGAGAAACGCAAATTCACGACCGAACTTTCAATGTTTAGGGAACTGGGCAGTCTGTCCGAGAGAAACGCAAATTCACGACCGAACTTTCAATGTTCAGGCAACGGAAGCGTTTGGCCACTGGTGGGCCCTCCTCAAATTTTATACTCAAAATTTAATAGAATCGATTCCAAAATAGATGCCAACAGACGCACATATTCACAGAATTTGTTGCCATGTTTTCTTGACTTATTTGGGTTCAAGAAGTTTTAAAAACGTGGAGATTTGTAAAAAATCTAGATGGTTAAATTTTGACATGATTATAATACTATCTACGTTATGTCATTCCAACAGAGAAAGTAAAATAAAGTAATTTTAAAGTATTAATATGAGGTAAAATCAATTTAAATGTCTTAATAATTTATGCGATGATAATGATTTTTTAAAACTCTTTTCGCCCTGTCGGCACTAAAAAAGCCTGTTTTAGCAAGCTCATTATGGTTTCGGCCAGGACCACAATAAGGCGGCCGGGTGGTGAAGATCGGATCCCGACATATTCGGACGGATCAACCATCGAAAAATTACTAATGTTTTTAAAAAAATAATAACAAAAATAAAATAAAACTAAAACAACGTAATATCTTTTTCAATGTGTCTTTTTTATACATAGTAAGACAAATAAGTCCAAGCTTAAACCGAGAAACTTTATTCAACTGATGAGAAATCGACTTTTTATACTTTCTTTCCAATCTTTTAACTTCGAAATCTACTTTCTTAATTTGCTTTCTACCGAAAACTTGTAAAAGAGAAGTTTCTATTCATTACAATAATTTCCCTATTTACATTTGCACCGGGGCACAGAGTAATATCGAACCATTGTTTAATGTAAAGTTTGAAAGATATCTACACTTTTTATCCTCGATTGGTACCCATATTGTTTACATTTCACTAGCGCTACCACAAAATACTGTGGCACCTGTAGTGGGGATAGTGGGGAGGCCTGGTAGTGAGGGACGGGGGATGCATTCTTTTATTCCTCAGCGTTACTCCTCGCGAGCGGAATCCGTTTAACAAATTTCTCTGAAACAAACAAAGCAACATGGCGTCCTCCATGGCTCAGATAGTTTCTTTTCGGGAATCATTATGTGGTATTATGAATGTGTGCGTTAACTTGCGCTTTCACAGCTTATAAATTTTTATTCATAAAACCACATAATGGACCCCGAAACGTAACTACCTGAGCCATGGAAGGCTGAATATTGCTTTCCATCGTAAACTATTACTACGAGCGGTTGTTTTTGCCGTCCGATGGCGCTCACTCCGGCCGGAATATAGGAACGCGTTCCGCAGAAATTTGTTAAACGAATTCCGCTCGCGCGGAGTCACTCGAAGGAATAAAAGAACCCACGTTTAGTGCACGTGGTGATGTAGCGCACTCCCATAATAGCGGAAACGCAGGGCGACCGCTATTAACCAACTCGCCCGTGGTTTAACATATCTCGAAAATTTCTTAAGGCTTTTTTGGCCAGAAAGAGTTAAAAATTGATGCCACTGTAATAATATTAAAGAAGGAGTTGTCATTAGTATTAGAGTAAAGCAGGTTGCCTTAACGGGTAATTCTGAAATACTGTATTAACCGAATCGTATCAATAAAACAACGGGACAATAAATTACATATCAATAAATAAAAAATATAAAATTATCAATTTAATTAACAAAGCCTAGCAATTAATAGCGGTCGCTCTGCGTCTCCGCTACTACGGGAGTGCGCTACATCACCACGTGCACTAAAAGTGCAGGTGGTGCGTTCTTTTATTCCTTCGAGTGACTCCGCGCGAGCGGAATCCGTTTAACAAATTTCTGTGGAACGCGTTCCTATATTCCGGCCGGAGTGAGCGCAATGTAAAACACACACTGTACTTAAATTTAAACAAAATTTGTTTAAAAATAATATTAATATACGAGATAACGGGTTAATTTACATCTAAATGATCAAATTCCTTTTTTCTTAAAACAAATTTAAATATATTAAGGTTTCAAGCCTTGCAAGTGTGTCACTTGTCTACTGAAGTAAATTTTGTCATTCATCTTGTAGCTGAAACATTAGATTTAATATTAATGTCGATAAATACTAGGATCACGCTTGTTGTTTTAACGCCTGAAAGTTGAGCTGAGCGAGATTTATGCTTAAATTTATTCTATTTAGCATGTTTCAAAACAGAAGCAATTATATCTTATTTAATGGCTGATTTTGGAAACTGGATGCCTTTCAAACTTTACTTCAGAACGAGTTTATCAGTTTGTAATAGGTTTTCAGCTTGTCAATGTTTTCAGCCAGAGATATTTATAAATATATAAACGAATATAGAGCTGTTAAGCTGGAGTTTAGACTCAATTATGCGGTTATATTTATTTAAAAATCGAGAATATCGAGAAAAACTGAATGACGTGTGTTTGTTTACGCTTTTAAAGAGAACTGAACTGCTGCGCGCACTTTGTAAGCACCAAAATCCCAGCTTGATTAGGTCTATGGTAGAGTTCTTCCGTGATATTCCTCAAGGATGCGATCTCACCAGGATTTCAAATAGCTTACGGCATTCACCGACCTGGATTTGATGTCCACACCAAATTTGGTCGAGATCGGTCGAGCGATTTCGGAGGAGTTTATTTAAATCCAATGACATTTAGATGCAAAGCAAATGAGTTTCGCTCTCTCAGCTCAGTTAATTTAATGACATTTGAAATATATAAATGTAAAATTAAGTTATTCATTTAAATTTTTATCTTTTCTACTTCAGTTTTACTATTCAAAGTTCTTTGATAGTGAAATATTACTGATTCACATATGCCTAATTTAAAATTGTAGGCCCATCTGTATAGAAATAAACTTGAGAGAAAATCGAACTGAACTAAAAAAAAATNTATTACCGTCTATTACAGTAATAAATTTCAATTCGCTCTGCTACACTTGGCATATTTAAATTAAATAAAATATACTTAATTTATATCTTGTATAATCAAATAAGTGTTATTACATAAATCTCAATCTAATGGCTAAATAAATAAAAAATTCCGAATAGAATTAGCCATTAAAGAGTCACCACGTCCAAACGACGGTGGCGATTTCCATATTACCGTCCACTAGAGTAATAATAATAATGATAAACAATTAAAATCCGCAGCTATGTTTCGTTTAATAAGCGTAAAAATAATAAAAAATTTATTAACGAAATAATACATAAAAATTGATTAAATATATTTTCAAAAAATAAAGAAAACAATTGTTAAAAATTTATCCGAAACGTGACGCAGAGCTGACGTCATTTCCGCCCGATAATACCTAAGAATTGCGTCGAGGGCTAAGCGAGGAGCGAAGAAGAAATTCGAAGGGACGATTTGTATTTGTTATTCTTAATCGAAAGATGAGCTTCTTGGGTAAACTATTCGGCGGCGGTAAGTCTCAGGAGAAGACCCCGTCACCCGCCGAGGCCATACAAAGACTGAGGGACATAGAAGAGATGTTGATGAAGAAGCAGGAATACCTGGAGAAGAAAGTGGAACAGGAACTTGCCCTTGCCAAGAAGAACGGAAGGACCAACAGAAGAGGTGACTCGAAAATTTATTTATCTTTATATCGCCTTTATATTTGATTACGCACGGGAATGACTGGTTCACACCACCCTGCGTGACTTGTGTTAAATAAAACAAACGTCACGCTGACCTTTGAGTTGGCATTTAATGTTTTTTAAGTGTTGTAAAGGTCACGTGTTGTAATGCCTCCCTCCCCTTTATAGGCATTGTGAAGATAAGCGTATCTGGTGGGGCCTTTAAAGGGGGACGACAGTTGTTTATCTGACATATTGTATAATAGGCATTAATGTAGGCACGAGTCAAGTAACTGGTGCTGTTCTTATACAGTGGTGCAAATAGGGGTAGGTGGGGCATATTCTAGGTAAGGGGGAGAGTAATTATTTGAGAAGTAAATAAGGAATAATACATTGATAGGTAGGTAAGGGGGTACCGAGAATGCGCGTAAAGCCTGGCACAAACTAGTTCTCGAAACAGATTTGTTTGCAATCGGAGGGTGAACTCGTGGACGGACTTCTGGAGGAAGATCGTATTCGACTTGGATGTTTTTGTTTTTGGTGACTAGCAATGCTCGTGCAGTCGAAAGCAAACGATCATGTGACAAAAACCAGTTTCTGCCTACACATTGAAGCAGCCACATTGACTGGTCTTAAGAGATAAGGGAAGCTATAGTGTGACATGTTGGTGTCTCGTGAATGTTTCAAACTTCTAGAAATGGGTGTCGATTTTAAATTTGACCAGATTGTGTCTTTTCTTTATAGATATTATAATGCCTACTGAAGTTTGGGCATTGTAGGCATTATAGTATTATAATATCAGTGTTGGGAAGTGGTACCTATAAAGGTTGTCGTGCCAATCTTTGTTGGTATTACTACATTTGTATAATAATGCTTATTGATAGGTATGCACTTGTGTTATTGCTTTTAAAGATAGCGTGTATATTATAATAATCTTTGTTACAGTTATAGGTGGCATAATGATATTGTAATGCCTGTGATGTATTGATTTATGGATGTGTAATACTTAAAATGTACTTTAGTATAATGCCTACAAACATCAGTTTGGTAATTTTTGTAAGCATTATATTGTGATACATTGTAAGGTTTTGTAGGCATCAAGAGTCGAATCGTGCTTTGGCCCACTTTGCAATAATTTTCAGGTCTTTTGGAGGCCGAGGATTTAAAAATTGGCCATCACCCCAAGTAAAACTTTGCTGTTTAATTTTATTTCAGTAATAGTTAAAATTTGTCACATTAGGTCTTCAGAAGTAAATTTCTTATATACTGTTATATGCATTAGTGGTTCTGTTGCAGGGTACTTGCCGTCTTATAGGCCTAGTATTGATGTATATGTAGTAAAAATGTTGCTGGAGGTTTCAAATTTAATAAAACCTATTTCATTAAATAAATTTTTTTAGTTCTAATTAATCTCTAGACAACTACCATTGTGGATTAAATTATGAGATGGAGTCATGCCATATCTTTCCAATTGAGAAAAAAGGAGAGCCAAATAAGTACGAAAGCGTCATAAAATGTGTAAGATTTGGTCAATAAGTGAGAAAACTGTAGTGTTAAAATTGATAAAGAATTTAATATATTAATTTAAGAGGTTCTAAGATGGCCTCTACTTCATTGTAAATTGGTATTGCCTGTGTAGCCATCTGAAAGCTGATTGCATCATCGTATTGCTGTTATTTAATGGTTAGAAGTATTAGTTTGCTTGATTTTGCATGTTTAATTGTACAATTACAGAATACTCCATCTGTAAATGGTTGTGGTGTTTTCAAATTTAATATTAAGTACCCTCCTAAGCATGAAATGTTCATAGACTTCATTTTAGCTAAGAAGTCTTGCGGATTGTAGAGCTTGTAACAGAGATTATTGACAGGTTAAATAATTTAAATAGAAGTGTAATATAATTAAAGTTTTGCTTTCAAAATGTTTGATATTTAATTTTTGATTTTAATTTTAAGAGAGCGAAATTAAATCTTTAAAGCTGTAGAGTGTCTTGTCGGAGAATATTTAAATTAATGCATTGTATGAAGACTGTAGAACTTGCCATTCTGATTACAAGTTATTAAAAACTTATATAAAGAAGAAAATTACAATATTAGAGAGGTTGTGGCCGTAGTTCAAACGTTAAACTTGTATGGCAGGCAGAAGTACACGTTTGACATTTGAACTCCAAGTAAAGCACGTTGCGCTACGTGTTCACGTGCACTGACTCATCGGATATTGTTGAAAAATGGCAGAAACGTTTAAAAACGATGAATGTTACTAGTGAAGGTAAATAAACGAATTAAACTGTTTTAAAGTATTCATACGTTGTTTACTAACACTAAATAATTGTTTTTAATTAGCATCGTGTTTCCTACCATACAATAGAACTACCTCATACTTTTGTTGAGGGAAGTAGTGGCTTACGTAAATTTGAAAGCAGCTGGGAAATTATTTTTAGAAAATTTACAGATGTATTACACTGTTGATGGTAGAAGATGTCGTGAAAGAACAAACCTACGCCTACAGAATTATGATACATATATTTTTGTTTATACTAGCTTAAATTCTATAGGCACTTCACATCACTTGCAAAAAAATTGAATAATTAAATAATTTCTGGATTAAAATCACCTGTTTGTTTACAATATTATTTATAAATGCTTAAATAATCATTATTTTAATAAAATACGTCATAATTTTAACCAAAAACACAAAAAAAATGAAGTTTAAGCCGAACTTCTACTCACCATACTAGACGTAGCGAACGCCATTGTCAACCTTCCAGAATTGCCAGATGGCGGCGCTTGACGTCTGACGTTCACGTTTTGGGCTGAAAACGTCGGCCGCAGCCTCTCTAATAATAGATTTGTGTACTCGGATGTATTATGATTGAGGTATTCAGTCTTCATTTAAAGTAGTAATCTTTGTTTTTCTTACACCATTGCATTATTACATGTCCTCAACATTGACAACTTTCCTAAATATAGGATTTTAGTGGCAATTTGAAGATATTTTTCTATAGCGTTCAATGCAAAATGTGACCTATTTTTTTATTGACATGTTATTGTTGAGATTCGGATATAGATATTATGTTGCCAATGCTGATTTATGTAAGAGATTTAAGTCGGACATAAACCAATAATGCACAATAATTCGACAGCTCTCTAGACTACTAATCATGTCTGCCACATCTCTAAAGCATTATGCATTGCTAGAAACTTAAGCATGTATGGTAAAACCTGCATAAACCAGAATTGCATGGTAATGAATACTTTTGGTTTTGGACAGATTTTATTGTAATTAAATGTCCGGTGTTTGATAATGCCAACACTTGTGTATTTTTTCGAAGCTATAGTAAACAAAATGACTTAAAAAATCGTGCAGGAAGATTGACGACAATTGCAATGTGGACGGTCTGAATGCGTACTACGTGCAATACTACATTTGTCAATACAGAAATAAATCTTGTTGTTGCATTTTTTGCCTTCTCTTATAATTCAGCCTGCATTAATGTGCTGGAAAACCATTGATATATCTATATATACGTAAAATTAATAATTTTTCTAGATACGAAGGTCTGCTTAGTTTCGGAAGGTAAACTTGGAAATGTATTTGTTTGGTTTGCAGGAGTTGTTCAAATTCCACTTTACCAAATTAATTTTAATTAAAGTATTTAAGAAAACTACCTACAGTTAGTTTCCATTGTATAGTGTAGAAATATAGAAGACTTTTATGGTACAGTCGATCCCCCCCCCCCACCTATAACACTGTTGATAATTCCATTTTATATGAATTCCATGTTTTACAATTCACTTAGATTTTACGTATACATATGCCGGGCTGTGAACGGCTCACGTATTTGTAAAATATAAGTGACTCATACAACATGGAATTCATCTAAAACGGAATTATCAACAGTGTTATAGAGGGGTCGACTGTATATTACTTGTGAAATTGGGTTTTTTTTAATAATTAGGCCAACTATAGGTGAACAAGTTAAAGTATGCCTTGTCAAACTACGCTAAACAATTTCCAGTTTATTTCCGAATTGGTTTTGTTTGTTTACCAGCATTTGCTTAGATGTATCGTCTTCTATTGTTCATGTGTAAAGTTCAAGGTAAAGTTTAGATAAATCTGTGTCCCTGTTTTTCAGTTGGATTCTGTAGCTGCTTCCTGTAATTGTCTTTTTCTTTTTTAAAACAAAATAATTTAGTATATGTTGCTTTGTTAAAAGAAGTTTTATGTGCATGCTTTCATTTTTATTTGCTTTCTCTTGCTTCTTTTAAATTACAGTACTTTCAGTAAGAAAATTTTTATATCGCCTAGTGTACTAAGATTTTGAAACTCGTCTGACATCATTTCCAATGGCAGCTCTTTAATTAATAAGAATTTGAAAGCTTTTTCAAATATTCTCCAAAGAATTGCTTACACTAAACACACATGTTTGCTGAAGAAATTGTCATTTAACTTGTCTGACATCACAGTGAATGATTCATTTAAATCAAGTGGGGAAATCCATGGTGACAGAATGAATCTTGATGATAAAAGTAGTAATCTAACATAGTTCAATTACACTTCTATGCGTAACTATTGATGAATTACAATTAAAGCAGTTTGCGAAAGCGCATTGTCTTGTTACCTTACTCAAATTAGATGACTCGGAGATATCGGACAAAAATGTAATGCTTGAATCTGTTAAGGAGTTGGCTTTATTCGGATTTAAACGTATTTTGGTCCCGTAATTCCCATCAGAATCTGTGTAAAACGAACGTGAACGCCAATAACACAAGAGATTACGATAGATATTTATTGTTCCTCGTCGGATCAAAACTAGCAACGTGCGATTACGTCGACCAGAATAAACAAATTAATTTAGCTAATTATTTTCTGGATCATTGGAATAGCTATAATGACTAGAGCTGTTTTTTTCACGGTCGCCATTAAGTATTAAAGTTTATGGTTTTGTATGTTTATGAAATTTATTGATAAGTTTCTGGAAATCTCTGGCATTAAAATGTTTGATATTAAAACTGCCTGATTATTTGTATAAATCTAATTGTTAAATTAGCTTATTTACTGCCTGGTTAATAATCCGGCAGTTTGTTTTGGCATTAGTAATCGAGTAGGGTCGAGGTACGTGCTATCAAAGGTTTACAATACGGATTCTGAAAGAAGTTTCAAGAACAAAAGAATTGTTACTAGAAATGAAGGCAATTTTCTGCCTGAAAATTCTTCTTGACCTTTTGTGACCCAAATAGTCATCCACTGATCTGTCACAATTTGTTTTCGTATTGCACGACCCTCGACTGAAGTTGTTTGAAAATTTTATCCCATTTATATTTCGACTTCTGTTTTGGACACGTAAAGTTATAGTTTATATCGAACTTCTTAAGATGCATTAATTGAATACTTAATTAAATTTGTAATAACTTTTATCTGAAGAATTACATTGTCATGTTTTTCGAACTTTGTTATCTTATCGTTGGTCTTTTATTAGTTTTTAGTCTTTTGATAATGGTTACAAATTGTAAGTAAATATAAGTACATTATTTGGCCGAAAATAATAAATAGCCCGAACGTCATTAATTCATGGCGAGAAATTTAAAAAAGAAAATAAAGTTTATAAATAAGTAGATTATAAATAACTCCAGAAACCAAATTACAATTAAAGCCAGAAAATCTGCAAATTTATCCGACTGTAAAAATTATATACAAAGTAATTTGAATAGATGTATTTGGTATTATTACGTATCTAATTATGAACTTAGCTGTATTTTAGCCCAGTAATTTGACAGTTTGTCTGCCTTCAAACCTCCAAGCGTAGAATCTGAGTGTGCGCTCTACTTCTGTGGCAATTCCTACCACTTGCCGACTCTTGAATATTTGATGTATGTCGAATTTCAGTTGAAATAAATAAAAAAATGCTATTGATATATGAGAAAAAAACATGTGATTTTTCCTGGATCCGAAGGCAATCCATCGACACAACCTGAAATTGCGATTTCCTCGAATAAAACGCAAGTTGAATCTACAGCTTTATGGAGGATACTTTTCAGTGCCTCAGAATAAGTGTCAAATCCACGAAATACATTTGTGATCCTCCCCTTGCAAAACATTAGTAAATATTTCTTTTGGAAAAATTTATTTTTATACAAAAGCAGATTAGTATTTATTGGAGAATTATTCTGGAATTTCGACTTGGAACACGTCGGATGGACAGTGGATGTTTATATTTTGGAACAGATAAAAAGCTTTTTACGTTTGTATGTTTTTATGACAAGTAGATGCCCTCGACGATTTGGGAGGCTCGAGATTACCACAAGTTGTGTTTTGATTTGTGCTTATTTAATGTCTGTTCTCTATTAAAAATAAATCAGGGTGATGATTAATTCATTTAAAATAAATACGTAGAAGAAACAAAGGTCTTTGCAATCATCCTTCTAATCCCACAGGAACGACAATGTTACTTGGTAGAGCGACCTTTATTTTGAAGCCGTTCTCTGCCCCGATATGCAAAACTTAAAAAGTTCTCTGGTGGTGGTAGAATTTGAAGTTGCAGTTTTACAATTGTAATTTAAATTGTATTACAACATCCTTATTGCGTAGCTTCAATAACTCTAAGCAATTAATATTCAATTTGCTTATTTTTGAGACGGTGACTCATTTGTTACATGGGGATAACAAAGCGATGCGACGCGTTCAAGACATTATCCTTTGTGTCTTTGGCAATAGACATGCTAGAATATTAAATCTATTAAAAAAAAAAGGAATAATTTATATATTTTTAATGTTAGAATATGGGCTTTTTTTATATGCGGATTTAACAAATGTCAAGGTGATTTTTGTCAATTGTTCTTTAATTTTTAAATACAATAAAATAAAATGAAACTTAAGAAGACTAATTATAAAATTAAGTTGGGAACGTTACTTTTCCACTAGCATAGATTTAAATGAACTTAAAATCCAACCAAATATAGATCTCTTAGCAAATTATAACTGTTTTTGATTATTTTTACTATACGGGTGATGTGGCACTTCCGTACATCCCTTTTAAAACGAAGGATAGAAAGTTATGTCAAAAATCCAAAAAGTTTTGATAAGTAAATCAAGTATGCTTTATCAAATGGTGATGTTTGTTTTCACCTAACGATACCCGACTGGAAGTGGGCCATTTGAACCGGAAGTTGGAATTTTTATGTGGAATGTTTCTGATAAGTATGGCGTGTGGAGAAAAATACTGTAAAACTAAGAAAATATCTCATTGAAAACCATTGATGTAGACAAAAATGTTGGCACCAATCGTGTGTAATTGATGCTACATGGTAGTTTTATTTGCATAAATTATTCTGGCATAATCTATTTTGTGCCAATTTTAAGCACCATTTAGTCTGAACGTTCAAATCAAGCATCGTTCTCACTGACGTGAGCTTCCACTCTGCTCAAACAGTGTCATCAGACATGGCTATGTAAATCACTACACCTTTGATAGATGTGTAACTGAAAGTGAGAACTTGATGATCATTTCATGGAGTGTACCCAATTTACTTATCAAAAGTTTTAGGATTTTTGACAAAACTTGCCTCCTGCCATTTAAAAGGGAAGGTGTCCAGGGGATGTGTCACTACTGTATAATGACTCTATCATAGTGGATGGTTGTTCACACACGAGCAATATATACGGAATGATGTATTGTCGGTGGGTTGAGACAATGACAATGCAATCAAGTCCAATTGTTTTTAAGGGAACCGAAAAGAAAATGTACAAGTGAAGCTACTTTTGATTACTTTTGCAGTGAACTGTTGTCGTGAAAGTATGGCATGGCAGAAACTAACACCATAAATCAATTACAATATTTATGAACGATCAAAATACTGTAATTTTCTAGGAGTTATTGCATCTGAAAATGCAATAATTTCTATTTCTTTATGGTGGTGTGCTAAAATGTTAACGTTTTGTAGTAGCAAGTGTTGATGTGGTTGCTTCCTCACAATACTTTATCATTTGTTGTTACAGAGAGACCTTTCTAAATTCATTTGTTTTAAGAAAATTTAAAGTCGGGAACCAATTTTTTTAAGCAATTTACTTTTAATTCAGTTTTTTACCCATGGCTTTGATATACCGATGATCTTACTTGTTTGTAAAATGGGATATTCCTTGTTCGTTCCTAAAATAACTGTTTAAAGTAAGTAAAAATTAATGTCAAATAGTAAGATTTGGATAGTTGTATCTTAAAGTTGAACACCCTTAAATTTAAATTAAGAAAAAACCTGTTTTATTAAAAAATGAATATTATTTTCAGTTACTTTGGTTCTTAAGGAAGATGACGATAAAGTATTTTTTTGTATTTCAGTTGCCATACAGGCTCTGAAGAGGAAGAAACGTTATGAGAAACAGCTGGGACAGATTGACGGCACTCTGACTACCATCGAATTCCAGCGTGAGGCTCTTGAAAATGCCAACACGAACACAGAAGTGCTAAAAATCATGGGCATAGCAGCCAAAGCACTGAAGGGTACTCATTCGGACATGTACGTAAAACCGAATTTGTTACAAAAAAAATGTACTTTTTACATTCTTTACACACATTTTACGATATTTTGAACATCTAATCCCATATAGAAACTCATAAATGTAAATTACGGGTGTGGGGCATTTAATAATGTGGGGCATTCCAAGAAATACATCGTTAAGTAATTTTATTAAGCAAACATCATAGTGTACTCAGACAAAACTTATGTAGTATAGTCTATAGGCTAAATGTAACAATTGTAATGCAATGATTACATATGTTAAGATAAGTGAATACTTAATACAAGAAAGGTATGGTAGGGTACAAATTTTTCAGCTCTGTTAATAACTCTTGTGTATGATCTGTCATTAAGCAGTGCGTACATATACATATACAGGATCTTACAAAAAGAATGCTACCATTTTAAATTATTGTAATTATACCAATTATTACCAAGAAGTGTTCGACGTACAACAATTGATAGAATAATCATCAGCTTTGTCTACCATCTTCATTTAAATGTTTGTCTGCTGCCTTTAGAAAGTGCCGTAAATAAAATGGTGACTCCTCAGTGGAGGTTTTGTTCTGCTGTTAGCAAAGTTGAAATACAAGGTGTGTTCCATAAGTAATGCAACCAATTTTTTCATGACGCGATGATACGCCGTATCTAGTTCTAACCTGCTGCGCTAGGTGGCATGGGGTGTTAGCTTCAAAACTCGCTTGGTCTCATTTGCTTCTAAGCTGCCGATGGGTGAGGATGTTCGTTCCCGTGAACCCTGTTTTGAGTTAATGTAACACGGCACAATGAATCATTTTGTGGAGCAATGTTATGCTATCAAATTTTGCATTAAACTTGGGAAGTCTGCTACTGAAACCTTTACATTAATTCAGCAGGCCTTTGGGAGTGATTGCTTGTCCAAATCACAAGTTTTCCAATGGCACAAGTCGCCCCACCCCAAGAAGGCACGCATGAACAAGTCTGGGATCAAAACCATGCTCATTGTCTTCTTTTATGTCAGAGGCATTATCCATCACGAAATTGTACCTGCCAGGAACACTGTAAATGCAGCTTTCTACTTGGAAGTGCTCAAAAGACTGAAAAGGAGGGTTGTGCACTGCCGAAGTGACATCAAGGACACACGGAAACTTCATCATGACAACGTGCCAACCACAGCATGTTCATTGTCAATGATTTCCTGGCCAGGACCCACACTTTTCCATTGGTTCCATAGCCACCTTAGTCCTGACCTGGCTCTCGCTGACATTTTTTTGTTTCTTCGCTTAAAAGGGGCCATGAAAGGGAAACATTGGGACACGATTGAAAACATCAAGGCTTATGTTACATCAGGTTTAAAGGACATTCTGGAGAAGTTCTTCCAGAATGCCTTCCAGGCCTGGAAACACTTCCTTCACAAGTGTATCGATGCAGGAGTGTGCTATTTCGAAGATTTTTGACTAATTGTAAGAATGTGTTCAATAAATGACTTTTTATGAATTTGGTCACATTACTTATGGAACGCACCTTGTACATTAATGTGCAACAACGTTTGCCTTACCTGATAATTACTTTGAAATTGTCTGCAAAACTAAAAGATTCGTGAAAATTGTGTTGTGCAATGAGGAACGATTCCAACCTAGTATACTACAGAACACAACATGCTTTTTCTGTTATGGAGTCAACATTTTTGTTTATGGTGCTTCCTAGCAGAGTCTACAATGGAACAAGAAAAGGCACATTGATGATTGTTATAAATAGGCACCAAATGTATGCCGCGATGTGCTGCAGGAAAAGACCGAGACACCTTCACCTCAACAATAATTAACGTAATTAAAGTAATTTTAAAATGGTAGCATTTTGTTTTGGAAGATCCTGTATTTATACACTTTGAGAAAATTAAACTATTAGATAAGAATTTATTATATTCTGATATGTTGTTTTGACTTTAGGAAGCTCCTGAAGTGTAAAATTTAACTCTGATACTTTTTGTAACGAAAATGTTTAGAAAATTAATACTTTTGGGCTGTTACATTGTGAATTTTTCTCCATCTTTTTGTTTCATTTAATGCCAGTTATAAAGCTTATAAATGCCAGACTTTTCTAAATATTTTTGTTCCAAGAAAGCAATCTAAATCAAAGTAAAAGAAACTACAGATAAATTTAATTTTCATCAACGCAGACATTACTTTCAAGTAACTTTCTGCTTGATTTGTTAAGGGATCATCTATTAATACTGTGTAGTTTTAGGGGTGGATGACACGAAAAGTATATCTTATGTAAGAAGAGGGGTCGAGACATCATCTATATGGACTTTTTTTAGTGATATTAATGGCATAAAAATCTGTTCTTATAAGCCTGTTTACTAATTGCATGCACAAACTCTTAGAAAATATTAGCAGAACTTCCTAAAATGTCAAGGGTGGTCCGTGAATTACTGTATACTTAGTTAAATGGGAAGAATTTTCCAAAATTATTGTTATACACAACAGACGAGGATCAAACACTGTGTGCATAATTAACAGACAGTCCTCATCCCATTAGTTTTTCTTTCCTCTGTTTACAATATGTTAGATAAGGTTATATCATTAATATAAATTACCAAATATATTGATAATTCTTGTCGAATGCCATATGTTCCAGATTACTTTGACCTCCAACATTTATCTACTAATTTATTGAATTTAAGTAATTGTCAGATAAAAATAGTTTGGCACCATTTCAAATGACGGTGAAAGTTTTGTAGTGAATTAAAGTGAACTTTTTATGCTTGTTCTGTTTTGTTCGGGAGCTTCCTAAAGTCAAAACAACGATCAAATTTTCAAGTGTCTAATTTCAGTTTATTTATTACAGTTTGCTAAAATCCTTAAAATTGTTCAGTTTGTAACCACGCATCGAAAATGAGCTTTTTGAGTTTTCTGCATTTTCGATGGGCACTTAATGACGAGAATGACTTTAAATGTGACCTGTAAAGAGGGTGTTGTTTTGGTCGTTTGTTAATCTGTTTTTAATTAAATTTTCCTTTATTAAATGTGTCAATCGAAAGCGACCTATGATACATTTCTTAAGCATTTGGTTAATTTTTATCCTGGAAGATTTACTTCGAAGAGTGATGAATTATAGGGAAAATTTTAAACATTGAAAAAGAATTTTTAAAAAAATTTATTAAGTAATTCAAAATTGATTTGATTCAATCGGTGTAGATGTAAAATAATTGTAATTTTGACAAACTTGGCGGACCACACCTTCACATCACTTGCCAATTTTTCATGTTCTTATTCCAGTGTATACATTTTTAATGGTTTTTTAATGCCGTTTTTCATAATTGGTCTTCTGCAATTGAAGTAAGATTTTGAGTGTTTTTTAATCTGTTGACTCTACTTTATTCAAATTCATGAACATAAAATATTTTTGTGTAAAATTTGTTAAAGCCAAGTCTGATTTATTGATGTAAGATAAAAAACACTACATTAAATTACAGTCAGTCAGATGAATGCACATAACTCATCTGTTGTTTTTTATCCTTTTTTTCCATTTGTGAAATATAATGATACACACATGAACATACTTCTTTGTATGGCTTTTTGAATATTTCACATTTTCTGATATGTTCTCTCTCAAAATTGATTGTGTTAGGGGCTAGATCAGTGTTTCTCAACCTCTAATGAATCGTCGCCCCCTTTAACATAGTATCGCCCCCTTCACTTCAAAATTCCAATGCCGTGGGCCAAGGCTAACGCCAAATTTGTACTGCATTGAATAGACTAGTGACTAGTATAATGTTATTTGTTTAATTATTGTACAATATAATGAATAAAATAATTAATCTTAATATAATGTTTTACTATATTGCCCAGAAAATTGTTTTTTGCCCCCAACATATAAATTGTTACAAATCGCCCCCTCAACATGGAAAAATGCTCACATGGAGGCAATATCGCCCCCGTTGAGAAACACTGGACTAGATATTTGACTGCCGAGAGTGTTGGCCCACCAGACTGATCATGAACCAGAATCAAATGCTGTCGGAAAGAACCAGAATCTGTGTTCTTTCTGTTACGAACTTGTATCAACATATTAGATGGCTGCAATGAAAAGAGATTATAGTGTTCTGCTTTTCTTTAAAAAAAAAGTAATAACTATATTGAATTAAAAAGGGTTTAACTTTAATAAGAACTTTTCACTCCCTTGGGCACTGACTTCCATTTCTTGAACAAAGAATGTCCAGTCAATACATTGGCGACCACTGTATTGACTGGACATTCTTTCTGATTGTTTTTGCCTCTGTCTGTCTATCGTGGAATAAAGTTTGCACAAGTGCACTTCCATTTGCAATCTGTAAAGAAACAATACAATAAAAATATTTCTTACAAAGTGTACATTTGTGGACTAGTCTTTCTGCTATGCACTCATGTTAAAAATAATCTAATCAAAGCTAAACGACTATGTGCTAATAACTTAGTTTTGAATGGTGTAATAATTCGCTATTCAATCACTTAAATTTTTAGTTCTTTTTAACATAAGAGTGCATCTGTTAAGTCTCTAGCCAGATTAATTGGATAATACATTGCTTTATTTTGTGTAATTGTTTAAATATTGTAGTCTATATTTAGTAGTTTTTATTGCTAATTTATTTTTATCGTATTGCAGGGATGTCGACAAAGTTCACGATCTCATGGACGAAGTACAGGAACAGCAAGATATTGCAAACGAGATATCCGAAGCGATTTCGAGTCCCATCGGTTTTGGAAATGATGTGGACGAGGTGAGGAATTTCAAACTTAATTTTTTTTATTATCGATTTTTGTATTTTAGTTATTTGGAGTAGTGTTTTTTTATTTAAATATACGACTGACTTTTAGAGACACTTGTTTACATTCAAGTACACCATAACATACAGCCTAATTAACTAGTTACATTGAAAACAACCTGTCACTCGATTGCCAATTCTGTGATACATTTTTTCACCAAATTTTTGGGAATTTGGAGTGAAACTACAGAGATGCAATACACTGTTTTATGTCCAGCAGTTGCTTTATAATTGTTAGTTTTTGGTTAATGCAAGATTGCATAATTGGAGGCTTGTCTTGTAAGGCCAAAGTTGCTTTTATTTGAGATCTGTGAATGTTGTTGAAGGTGTACCATTCAAAACTTCCCTTATCTGAAGGGCTTGACAGGTATACTCACTTCACATTAAGCTGAACACCCTATATATTCATCATGGATGCCTAGAATGGATTTATTTTGTGCCAGATTTGTTTATGAAACCACCTCTGGGAATGCATCACTTGTATAAAATGAAGGCAGCTTATATTTAAAAGTTTTACAAATGGCTTCTAAGATAAATAAACTAATCCCCTCTAAATCAGTTATGAGCTTAATATCGGTTTGGTATCATAATTTTGTATTGCCATTATTCAATCCTAATTAAGCTGACATTCACAATGAGCAATATTTCAAGCTTAACTTGACTAGTGAAAAGTCGGATGAACTACAGTCTCTCTTACTAATTTACATATCATTATCATGTATTATTTTAGTACTTAGTGTACTGTTTGTCACTTCTCGGCAAGCTTAGTCTGCAACTTGGTAATTTTATTTGTAAACGAGAAGAATTGATTGCTATTATATAAAAAGAAATGTAAGAAGGTAGAATCCTACTGTATGTGACCAATATGTTCTGAGACCTCTTGCATAAGCTGAAATTTGTATAGTTAGAGAATCCCATTTATAAGTATTTCTGATACTAACATACCTATCACACATGTTTTTTATATATAAGACAAAGAAACACAATATTAACGATGAATAGCTTGATATTGTACATCATAAAGAAAACTTTAAAGTTCTTGGAAGCAGCATTTTCTTCTGCTAAATCTAAAACTTTAAGTAAAGGTTAGTCTTCCAATAGTGAGACTAGTGATCTTTATCATGTCTTTCTTAATTATCTGCAATAAATAGAAACAAAGGCTAAAACAATTCACTTTGTCAATTTAACTACTCATTTTGGATTGGTAAGTATTTTCCCATGCCTTTTTCAGGCTTCCATCTTTAGTTTTTAAGGTGGTTGACCAACATTTATCAGCCTCTTTGTGCATTTTCAGTCTTTAAAGTAATTTGTTGTGTTCTCACTTCTATAAAATTAAGGATTTTGTGCATCTCGCTTTGTTTAAGGCTCCCTTTTTTATATGGTTATTTTTATTTTTTCATAACCATTTAATTTCATTTTTTTTGGGTGGTCTGGTAATTCTATAAACTCTTTATTAGAAACTTTTTAGATTCTTTCTACTGTTTAGTAACAATAACTATTTGATCTGCTTTATCAGCTTTTACTAGCGTTAAACTGTGCCTGTTTAAATAACTTTTTGTTAATTTGCACTTATTGTAATTGTTCAGTCCTTTTATTTATCCCAAATAATACACTCATTCTGCTTTATTTGTTATTGTTATCCTTATAAGTTTGTTTTTGATACTATACTTAAGAATTTGCATTTCTTCTTTATGAATTCTTGAAGTATTTATTATTTTATCAATTTCTGATAAGATTCCTAATGAATTTGTATAAATTGGGGTATCAAAGTTTATTCCTAGCTGCATCATATCCATTATAACTTCTGGGATTATCAGATTGGACTTATTGATGATTAACTTGCTTTGCCACTCTTATTTTTCACAAAGCATTTGGTAACTAAATAACTTTTTAAAAGTTCTTCTCTCTTTATTTGATACTGTTGGTCTTGAACTGAATCCAGTAGTTGTTTATTAATCTTTTGTCTATTTGTTTGTTTCTTTAATAAGGAAATTTTTTTACTTTTTAAATTTTATTATTGATTTTTAAAATTTCTCTCTATTTTCCACACATTGCAATGTTCTTGAGGTAGATTAACAAGACTAGACGACTACCTTACACACTGAAGCCGTGAGCCTGAAGGAAGGATGGGGAAAATACTTACCAGTCCGAAATGCATTGTTAAATTGGTGAATAAAGTAAATTGTTTAATCTTGGTCTCTGCTTATTGCGGATAATTAAGAAAGACGTGATAAAGAGCACTAATCTGACTAGTGGAAGAAAAACCTTTACTTAGTTATGTCCATTCCATTCTAATAACTTTATTAAATGGTTTACAAACTAAAATTTTTACCTTTTTAATGAAGGCACTTTTTTGCTTTTCTTTTGTATTATTGGAGGTATTTCCACTCCTGCTTTGGAGCCACTTTTACAAATTAGCATAAAAGAAAGCAAGATAAGTTCCGATATCACAGACACATTGTGTTAGAGAAGAACTCCAGAGAAAGACTGATGCATGTTCTGGTATTGAGTGCAAAACAGAAGAGAGTAATGGTAATGTTTTCCCAAAACAAGTGACTGAGCAGATGCTGCAAGGTTTTGTGCCTTAAAAATGGCAAGTGCTTTAGTGCATTTTAAGTATTTTTCATTTTTTTGCTTTCCTGGCTATTACAGAATATAATATAAGAAAAGTATGGCAAAGTCAAATTTATCCCCATCCTGGTTTTACATTTCTTGACATTTTGATATGCCAGGAGTCTAAAAATGTAGGAACTGAAATTGTTTGCACGTCAGTCTGTTTTTTATTGTATCTCGGGACTAGTTGAACCAAAAATTTTGAAATGTGACAGGATTATTTGTATCTGGGCATTAATGCTATTTAATTTCAGGGATTAAAAGTCAAGGGATGAGAAGAAAGAGGAGTTACATCATATTTCGAGCAAGAATTGCTCTTTTTAGGCTTTATTTTAAATTTTCTAATTACATTATAATTGGACATCCTTCCCTGTTCCCTTAACCTCCCATTTGTATGCCAGGAAAGTTGTGAAAAGCCCTTGATGACTTGTTTTTTCCAGATTTACAATAGTGAAAATCTGAAATGACATGTAGTGAATTGGAGTATGGCAAGGTTCTACTGTATATATAATTTTCATATAATTTAAGCTCATTCTAGTGAGATGTTATTTGGGGATTTAGTGGCAATAAAATTTTAGATTGATGCTAAAATATTGCACGAGTTCTTGAACAAACAATGAAATTACTTTTGTATATTTATTAAAATTATGAATTATGTATAGTGGTCCGTCCAAGATGCGTCGGGGGCCCCTTCTCTTCCACCTGACCTCTTCGTTGCAGGCCTGGTTGTATGTATCCATGATGGCTCGGTAAATAGCTTTCTTGTTGCCCAAAGTGTGGAAAGAGTCAAATTGTAATTATAAATGAAAAAGATCATTTGTAATTACGATTTGACTTTAACTTTAATCCTTTCTGCTTTCAAAAAATATTGTAAGATAGAAACGATGCAATGTGTTCCTGTATTCCTCCATTATCATATATTCTTGAAGAAAATAATTTAGGTTCAATCTGTTACTGGTCTTAGGATCATTTCTGATAAATTTAAATTTTAAATGCTGCTTAGAAAGAAAATCATCAATGCTGTTACTGTTTTCTGGGGCATCATTTTGAGATTTTATCTTTACCATCTGAATCTGTTCAACTATTTGTAAAAAAATTGTCAATTAGTATCTGTATTTATTGATTTATGGTAGCTTTTTTTGTTAATGTAGTTGAGGAGGAGTTATTTTAATGGTTGTTCTGTTGGTGTGGATGCATCTTTGTTTGTTTCTATTACAAATAAGTGCGACTCAGCATTACACTTTCTCTTAGTGCATCTTTTACATGAATGTTTCTTTTGTCATGTTGGGCTACTAAGAATGGTTTTGGACTAAAACAGCTGTCAAAACTTAGTTTTAACCTGAAGACATTTAAATAAGGCCGAAAATGTTATCATGATAGAACTTTGTTTGCTTTATTGCATAATTCGTTAATAACATAGATTCAGTTTGGGTCAATGAGACATTTTATTCTATTTTGATTTGATGTGCTTGTTTATACTTCTCTAATTTGTATTTTGTGTAATGACAGGATGAACTTGCAAGAGAATTAGACGAGCTAGAACAAGAATCGCTGGACGAGCAGCTGCTCGATGTGGCTGGACCGGCGACTGAAAATCTGCCGAGTCCTCCGACGGCCGAACCCATCAGTAGTAGAAGTGAGTATAAAATTTATGATCTGTTAAATTTAAAAATTTTAATTTAATTAACATTGCAAACAATTTTATAATTTTAATATGTCCAAACATTTAAAACACAAGATTTACAACCATGTCACACATTTTTTTAATATTATTTTGTTACTGACATAGCTTCTACTCATAACTGTGTTAGCTATTATCAATAGCTAGACTTGTTCACTGTTTTACTATGTTATTGTGTTAAGTATGTCACGTAAATATAGTTAAGCGACTAACTTAACTGTGTCTTGACGTAGGAGGTTTTTGAATTGGGAATAGTTTCTGCTGGCATGTGCTTGAGTTGCCAAATAAATTTTAAAAATGTAGTAACACGAGACTTGCTGTCTGTTGCAATTATTTTGTAGTTTCGTTTGATAGCAGGACATGTTAAATACTGGTGAAAAGTATTGACAGCAAAAGAAATTATGAATATAGAAGCAGAAATAATTATAGGAAATTTGATTTTCATCTTATTTTTAAATTAGAAAAAATAATTTCAGTTTTTAAATATTTGCAAATAATTTTGAAAAGTACACATGAATAAGTATAACTTGTTGCTAAGAGCGTATTTTTTAACAGGTTAGAAAGAATAAATGTTTCTCTAACATGATAAAGTTATATGCTATTTGTCTACCTTGAATATTTTGTTACCCTTAGATTCCCTGTATACCCTTAAATATATATATATATGAGGTCAGTATTTAGTTATAAAATGNAATATAGAAGCAGAAATAATTATAGGAAATTTGATTTTCATCTTATTTTTAAATTAGAAAAAATAATTTCAGTTTTTAAATGACATTAAATTTCAACAAAAACTCATTAATCTTTAATATATACTTTAGTGGTGTGCCCAGATGAAAGTCTCTTAGCATACGTTAATCTGGCCTGTGACTATATTTGATACATCACTTGCGAATGATTGAATATAAAGAAGTCAGCCCATTTATTACAGAATATGAAAAATATTTGCGAGCCACCTGTCTAATGATATTGATAAATATTCCTGATTATAAATTCTGGCAGTATTGCAGGAGGATCGGTTTACTTCTTGAACACTTACTTAGAGGTAATTTTCCTCATTTCAAAATTATGGCTTTCTGTGATCTGCCAATGAGGAAAACATGTGGAGTCTGAGAACAATTTGTAAAATACATTAGTGTTAACTGGAAAGTATAAAGGTCTTACGCTATAGACAGACTGTTTTTTGCCTGTACAATGGACGTGGTATGAACTTCATAAGACTCCCCCTTGTTTTGTTTTTTTAACTTTTTAAGTGGTGTTTTGGGTATAACTAAGGTTCTCTTGTCTATACTACAGGGAATGTTCAGACATCATCTGTTCAAAAACTTAACTTTCTTCTACAGTTTGAAATATTTTTTGCATTAGACTTACGTAACTTGAAGATGTCTATTGAGGTTGGACAAAACATTCATTTTAGTAACTACATTGAACATATTTGACTTGTTTTGGTATTTTGTTTTTGTGTGTTCCTACAAACGGTAATATATAAATGGTCCGGGAGTATACACTGGAGAATACTTAAATGCATATCAATTTAAACTGACTGCAGTTTATATAAACAGTCAAACCTCCATATAATAACAAAGTTTCTATATAACGAAAATTCAACTGGAGAATGCTCTGATAGTAACAAAAAACACACGATGTAATGTTTTATTTGTCACAAAAATATCCTCATACAATTCAGTTTAAAATTCAAATGACATTTGTATAGTGAATGACCTTGCAATGAATTCATTTAATGCAATATGTATACTTGTGCATCAGGTCTTTTAAATGGTATACTGTATTGTGGGTACTGTACTGTACTACTAACAATGTCTTTCCTGTTGGCAATTGTCGTGGAAACTAGTAATATGTAAAATAATATATATTATTTTGTTAAACAGTGATTATTTTTTTTAAATATAACGATACTCTGAATATTCCATAGAAACATTTGAATCTCAACAAGTTATTATAGAATCTTATATTTCTAACTTACACTGTGATACTTTTAATTATATATACATATTTTAGGTTGTAGCACAGTAGTGTCCTAAACTACACCTTAGTGATTGTCATAGCAAACTATTTTCTCTCAAGACTGTTTGCCTGAATGCATACCAGTTTGAGTTGCCAACACAAATGGTTTAGCATACACTAGGGCACGTGCTAAGGGAATGTGACTAATTTTCAGTTTTCCTCTCAACTACTATACGAATTTTTGTTAGAGATTTCAGAAAATTCATAGATGTTGCTATTGGTTATGTAATATTTTTAGAATTAGCATGTTTCAAAACATAGTTTTGAAATACACTTATTTAACTTAACATAAAACTAAGTTTAAAACTTTAACTTATTTAACATAGTTAAAATACACTTATTTAACTTTGCTTATTGTAATCAGAAATTTGTGTGTATGATAGAACTCGGTTACGAACTTCAAGGGACTAAAAAACGTCTTAAGCAGAAGTGTTTCAATAATCCATATTTATTTAACAAGGTTCTGCTTATACAGTATCTATTTTAGATATTTGTGTACTGTAGCCAGCTTAATCTGTTTTTTATGTATGAAAAAATTATTTTATAATTTTTATAAACAAATCAGTTCAATGAACTTCAATACAGTATTTGTAGAAGACTTATCAATATTTGGTGATACTGTTTGTCAGAATTTGCTGTTTCAGAAAAGCATCGTTACCAGATGACTGCACAAAAATTGTAAAATCCATGTTCAGAGTAGCCCAAAGTCATGTCTCAATGACATAATTTCATATAATTTTCTGCGTTTTCTAATGTAATTTTTTTTCTGTGTGTAATTAAATGTGTAAAATTTTAAACACTATGCAATTGTAAAACAAATCAATTTATTTTCCAATCATGGACAAGGATTTCTCTACTTGGGCTTGAAATATTCTTAAATGGGAACCTTCTTACATGTAAAAAAATTTATACACCTGAAATTAAATGTACTACATGAAAGAACTTAAGAGTTGTACATAACAGCTGTAATTATTGACATCAGATTTAATAAAAGTACTATCAATCTCAATGTGTGGCCAATAACATGCATTTATCGTCTTAACCAGTATTTTAATCCTTCTAGGTATTTGTTCACATTACAGTAATTTAAATTGCCAACATTTCTTCAATTATATGCTTGTTGTTAAATATGGTACTCCCAAGAGATCAAGCAAACAGCACTGGATGAATTAGTATTAATAATCTGAAGTTTATACATAATTTAATAACCAATTTTGCTAATTGTAGTATTATTTATTGACTGTACTTAATGTTGTTTGTTAGTTGTTTATCATTTCTATAAGTAAACCTCAAAATGATTTAGAATAATTGGATTCTATTTGTATTTTAAACGTAATTTACTTCTTACAGTTTCTATCAGTTCAAACTTGGCTTCTTCATTTTAATAATGCTTGTGATAAAATATGTAACTAGCATCAAGATGATAGAAAAAAAAAATCTGTGTTTGATTTTGTATATTATATTATTTTCTGTATGTCGAAATTTCTCCTAAGTAGTAAACAGGCAAAATATATTTAGTGATTAATCGGTTGCATACTTACAAGCAATGTGCTCGCCTTTTTTTTTCTCTCCTGTGTGTAGGAGTAGTTGCAAAACACTTCTTCATATCATAGTAAATTTATTTTATCTCAATATAAAATTGCTGTTTTTGTACTTTATCATTTGAATAAAAATTTTAAAAATCATTTTAAGTTGTTATAACAATGCCAGATTTCTGAACTGAGAGTATTAAAATCCTTTAAGTAAATTTAATTTGTGTAGTAATTTGGCAACGTGTCAAAGAAGTTACTTGACAGTTTGTAATTAACTGGATCATTGTCAAATAGTTTGAATGTTCCAATAAACATTGTAGAATTTTTTAGGAATGTTGTGCAAATGTTAGCGTAGGCGTTTCGGCATTAACAAGAGTATTGTAAAGTATCGACAATGTTTGACAAAGATCCAACAGTGGACACGAATCTGTATTATAAGAATTGTTTTGGAAAATAGCTTTATCTATATTTTCTTCCAGTTTTTGAAACTACTTGTGTGTTTTAATGTGTAGATATTCATTTAATTATTTTATAATTATAAGGTAACATTTTTCATTGAGAGGATCCAGATTAAAATTTGATTTTGATCATGATTTTACAGATACAGTAGAGCGTCGTTTATCCGAATCAATTGGGGACTGGGGTTGTTCGAATAACTTATTTTTCGGATAACCAATTATGTACGAAAAAATATATTAACCTATCCCATGTTGAAATTTTTCTCCATTGCGTGTCACTTTGCGTTGAATTTTCGGTGGTGATAAGCCTAACACACAATTTTAAAATAATAATCGTGGCTATTGTAACATCAAAAATTATTTCTTTATTTTGTACAAACAAAATAAATATATTGAAGAATATAAAAACAAAAAAATTATTATATTTTGGAAGTTAATCTAGTATCACAGACGTTCAATTCAGCATGACACAGTCCGACTGGAACGCTTTCGGTTGATCGGCTTTCGGATAAATGACGCTCTACTGTAGTTCTGATTCAATCTTTCTCATTCTTTGTCCACGATAGCCAACTAAGTTGGATTGCCCTGTATTAAATGAAATAAGAGTTGTACATTGTGTGTCTGTGCCTCGAGCCAAACTAAAAGCATAGTAATTAATATTAGTGAATAATCTATATAAAACTGGGTTGCCGATTCTGTATAAAATTTGTCTGTCGTCTCGAATTTTTGGTGAATTTTTCAGAAATGTTTTGCTTTATGATTAGATAAGAGGTAAAGAAAACTTGGTGATTTTTGTATTTATACATTTTGGTATGTTTTGCTATTATAATTAGCTTGTTTTATATAGATATAACTGTTTTTATTGAAGTAAAAAATGGTCAAAACATAAAATTTGTTTAAGGCCTATTTTTTTTAGGGGATGGTAGCTAAATCTAAGCTTGTTTAGACTAATTTATATGGAATTTAATCTAGATAAAATCTCATTAGGCCCATTTTTTTAGGGATGTAAGCTAGATCCAAATTTATTTGAACACGATATACTGAATGCTTTCAACTCTACTCTCAATTGAAAGTATTCTGAAATCTTTTGGAATGTTTCAGTATACTCGTTTTACATTCTTAAACTGTAAAATTAGAGAGGAATTGGCATATTAACTTTCGAAACTTCTTACCTGTAATTCATATTTCTGCTTTTGGTAATTGTCTTCCCAATAACATGCTTTATTTTGAGATTTAAAACTGTAAACCATTCTGAAATTATCAAAAAATTTTAGTAAGCTATTGAAATTTGCATAGTAAACATAAGAATTTTATGTTAATTTACTGAAATATATTACTCTTCATATATAAATGTTCGTTTAGAATTAAGTTAATTGCTAAATTACAGAACTTAATTTCTAGCTAATGTAATTGATGATGCTCCACATGATGAGCAAATGTTGGATCGGAATCCTGCTCAGAGCCAATCTTTTCGAATTTTCTAAATTATGTTATTAGTTTAAAATGAATTTAAGATTTATTAATCTTAGTGCGAGAAGGCAGCTTAATTGCTTACCTTTAGGCCAAATTCTGTAATTTAGTAATAATTAGCTTAATTTGTCTCAAGAGTAATCGTATTTTGTAATGGTAGGCTATTTTATAATTAAAAGAAATCAAATTCCTTTTAAATATTATTTTTATTACAAGACATTAGGTTAAGAGTGTTTAAGAAATGCAAGAATACTTTGTTTAGTAAGCAGCTTGGATTCTGAAGAAAATTATTCAGCCCCCATCTTTATCAGTGCTGATCTTTTTATTGTTTTGTGAGTTGGTTCTTCCTCTCTTTCTTCAATGAAGTAATCAATATGCTTTTAATGGGTTAATTAGTAAACATAGTAATTATAAATGTAAACTTAGTTTTAATGTGTATGAATGGAAAGATCTTTCCGAAAGGCTTGCTTATGATAGTTTATAATGTATAAATTGCCTGTAACGATCTGGAATTTACAATTAATCCTTCACCTGTTCTTGAAGTACAACAAGAAGTTAATATTTTGTGCAATTGTTTTGATTTTGCTTCGAGTAGTCGCTCTGCCAAATATCAAAAATGCAAAATTTGAAGATGGACTTAACCTAATTTTGCATAAAGAAATATTTTCATTTTTCTCGTTCTTTGTTTACACTGTCGCAGACTGCTTATTTAAGGTTGTATATTGTTTTATTATTTTTAATTGCTGTTTTTCCAGTTTTTAATTCAGTAAACATCTTGTTTTGTAGCCAACTTTGTTTTGTTTTAAAAAGTAATTTTTTTTTATCATCGATCGAGGTTCTTACTATCTCTTCTTTTGTAACATAAGAGTTTTGTTTAAGATTTCATAATATAAAGCCAGAATAAAGAAAGTTTATAAAGTTTTTTTTGTGTTTAAAAATAAGTTTCATCGGAAATACAGCTTGAATTGTTGACCTCGCAGTTTCAAAATCTGCGTCTTTAGGCAGTTATGCTTTAAGAATGAATCTAAATTTCTGATATTCGGAGTAGCCAATGTTTACTTCAGGGAAAAAATAGTATATTCAATGTTTTTGAAACAGTTTTTGAATGTTGTTTTTGCACTTCTGAGATGCAAAGATCAATTTTTGTGTTTCCTCTTTTACTTAAATCTTGAAAGAACACTGACACGTTCCTTAATATACAAAAACATTTCAGTATTTTATTTAAGTCGTAATTTATTGTTACTTAAATGTTTTCAAAGCCTCGAAACCGAAAGTCTGCTCGGTTCAATGGAAAATTGAGATGATGCATTCAAAGACAAAGCTTAGACTTTGGTAAATTAAAAAGAAATATTTTCAAATTTTGTTTTGATGTTTAAATATTTATATTTAAACAGTAATAATTGCCTTCTGTCTATGATAATAAAGTAGTATGACATGAAAGAAGTTTATATTAAATAAGTTCTGCCAAAATATTACCATTTTGTATAATTGTTTTTTCTTTATAATGGTGACATTAGAGAATTACAATAAGAAAATTAACTCATTTGTCTACCACTATGAGAGAGGAAGACCTTATCTCACAGATATCTTGGTACTGAGCAGATCCCGTGATAAATCTGAGTTCATTCTTGAGTTTTTCTTAGAGAGTGGGCTAGTGTATCCAACTTTTCACTGCTGATATTTCTTATTGCTGTGTGTAACTTGTAAAGAAAGGACATCTTAGAAAAACTGCTGTCTAGAAGTTGCTATCTAGATGCTAAGATTGTTGTTTAAGATGCATTGAGCATGAGGAACCTTATCTTCCCTTCTTTTACTAACTCACTTCCCTTTCCTTCCCATACTTCACCTGGCTAAATACTTGGTGTATGGCCATGTCTATTGCTCCAATGCAAATGGCTCTATCCCCAAATACTTTAAATCAAATTTTGCACTTGTATTGTACTTAGTTAGTATCCTTTATCAATACTGCCAAATATCTTGTGTGAACCAGATTTTAGTTTTAACCAACTTCCATGCTAGACATTAAGTTTCATGCAAATATCAATATAACATTGCTGTTTTGTCTATATTTAATCAAAATGCATGTTGAAAGCCCAGTTTGAATAAATTTCATATTGGGGAACAAATCCATGCCAAAACAATAAGATACGCACTCTCAAGACTAGTCTTTCTGCTGGTTTTGAATTAAATTTTATCTTAACAGATTATATAAGCTTGTTTTAAAACTATTTATTTGGCAATTTAGTACACATGAAAACATATCAGAATTCTTACTGTTCTGCTAAACTGGGTTATATTATAATTTAATTATACGCATTTAATCAAGCAATCAAACTTTATCAGATTGTATAAAATATTTTATACAGTCTCCCCCATAAGTCTGAACTACAGTCGTGTAAATTCTTATTCTTTTATGGTTAGCGTGGAGCCGAGTAAGGCGGAACAAATTCAAGTTATTTTGATGTTGGGAACGTGCAGTCTGCATGAAGTTGCCGAAGAATTTAACAGGCCGCGTCTAGACTTCCACTGATCTGTTAAACTCTTCGGCAACTTTGCCAGCTGCTGGTTCCCACCGTCAAAGTGACTTGAATTGTTTTTTCGTACTTTGCACTGTGATTTAACCAGAACAGAATAAGCCAAGAACAACCTGGTTCCAGAATTATGAGACATGTTATATATTATTTTGTAATTTGATGTCAAAGTAAGATTATTTCCCTATGAAAGTAATTAAGAATAATTGCCACATATGAAATTTATCTCTAGACCAGATTTTTGTTTGACTGCATTTACAATTTGATTTATATAGCTGTGTATACACGATTTTACATATTAAGCAATTGTTGTTGCAGCACTTGCAAAATAGAATAATTTTATGTAAATGCTACTTAGTCAGTCATTGAAAAAGCATACTGAAGTTGTCGATAATAAGTGTTTGCATCTCTTCTCTTACTGACATTTTACATATTTGCTAGTGTGTTTGTATTGTTAAAATACTTTGTAATTGTTTTAGTGTTTAATGTGAGACAAAACACGTTTAAGGTACAATAAATGCAATAGTTTAAAACAGGCCATTAACAGTCTTAATTTATAACAAAAGTAGTCTTAATTTAGGTCTAGATCAGTGACTTTCAATGTATCTCAAGCTGTCTACTAGTGGACAAAAGGAAAAAACTATTTACAAACATTGCTAAACCCGATATATAATATAGCTAAACACCAACCTTATGCCGAACATCTATCGGGCTAGTTTAAGGCTAATTACTAAATGAATTACACCTTGCCGGGGCTTGTGATGGCCGGTTGAGTGCCTTATAGGACGTGGGCACTGGATGTGTCACCAGCTGGCATTGTAATAACCGTTGATGGTTTTATAGTTAGCTTATATGCGCTGGAAGAGGAGATCGGACTGGAGGTCTGGATAGCGTAACAGGCAATGCATCTGCACGGTAAGCAGGAGTTGTGGGTTCGAGTCTCTCTCCGTGCCGATTTTTTTTCTCCCAGCGGTTCTAAATTATTTAAATTAATTAATTTATTTATAATTATTAATGTTAATAAGGGATGGTGCCTAATGCTTACCTCTAGAGCCAAATTGGTTACATAATTCATTTAGTAATTAGCCTTAAACTAGCCCGATAGATGTTCGGCATAAGGTTGGTGTTTAGCGATAAAACTATTGGTAGTTGGTTAGATAAAAACCCACAACCAACAGGCTGGCTGCACAGTTTTCTAGATTTTATTCATTTTTAACATTTAAATAGGTCCCCTTTTCCTATAAAGTCCTCTCGGAAGATGTTACTCGGTGTTGCATTGCCTTAGCCTGTCAGCTCAGTTCTTTTTGAGCTAATTGTGCACTCACAATTTTTAGTGGGGCACAGAGCCAGTGCCATATTACAACTTGTTGCATCACCAAAAATTGACCCTGCTGAAAACCAGAGCCACATTGACCCTTTGTCTTTAAGTGAAACACAACATTGAAAATCTGCAGGTTTTATATGTAAAGGTGTGCAATTTACATCAAAAAGTAAACAACAGATTAGTATTTTCTAGTGTTTAGATGCAAACCTATGAGAAGTTTGCAGCACATTCCAGTTGAGAACCACTGTTTTAGATTAAGTAAAGTAAATTAAAGTAATAGTCTTAACACTATAGATTCTGTTAATATCAAAATCATCCTTGATCATTTAACAGAACAAAATAATACTACTGTCTAATAGTAATAGTGTCTCTCAGAAAGTAAACCTAATATTGGCACCATTGATAACTTGTCTTAGGCCTTAGTAGGAGGCCAAATGGTACTATGTACTGAAATCCTTCAGTGACAGCTGGTGTCTTCAAATTAAGTGTTAGTTTGTGCTTTATGAAAAGTATACCTTTATAAACTAAGTGAATTGTGTGTTAGCATCTTAAAAATGGAATCGTAGCAATTAAACATTGATGATACTTAATTTTATCATCAGTTAACCATCCGTAACTTAAGGTTTATTTAATTAAAAATTCTACCGTTTCCATATTGTAAAGTAGAGAAACTTGGTGTATCGGGATTGAAATGTGTGTGATTTTTGCAGAGAAACCAGCCAAACCGGAGGAGGAAGACGACGACATGAAAGAATTAGCAGCCTGGGCATCCTAAATCCACTTTATAATACTGTAAATAAAGAGTCGAATTTATCTTGCGTAAAAAAAAAGAATGAAGAATTTTATATTTAAAGTATCTGCGAAATTTGCAATGGAACCTGATGGGGTATCACGTTGATTTAACAAACTTTTTCCAGAATTACATCTCGAAGTTACGATTTAATTTCGATTATTTTCGGCTAAACAAATTGAAAATCTCTGTCCACTTAACGTATAATTTAGATTTTTACGGTGATAAAACACGATTGTGACGTCAACACACAAGTACACTCACGCCAGCTTCAGTAGAAGACAAAAATGAATGAAAATCTAGCCTTAAAAAGATTGTTTTTAGGATTGTTTTATGGTTTATACGTTTTTTTCTATATCTGTTTAATTCGTTTGAAAAAAAAATTGTATAATTATATAAATAAATTAATAAATAAATATCTTTAATCACTGTTTATTGTAATAGGATAAAAACCAAAACAAAACAAAAATTGCAAATATGCTTGTAAATAATTCTTTACTAAACTCGATGCAATAAAGTCTACTGTGAAACGTTTAGACTGTGTTGTGTATTGTTAAGCCGCCCGTCACCTGACATACACGCGGAAACCGTATATACAACACTGGATTTCTGCTCTGACGTCACACTTGGCCACCTGTTTGGAAGCTGGCTTACGGGGTGAATGACTCGCTTCCCCTCCGTTTAATACCCATAATTGATTCCTACATTTCAATTTTATAGAAATATTTTCGGGAGGTGAATGGCCTCCCCGATCATGCCGTAAAGCGAGCAGGAAGCTTTATTTAATCGATACGATGGCTTGAAAATTCCACAAAGAGTGAGCTAATATTCAAAAGTAGCTCTTTTGTAAATTACATTCCCTTTTTAATAAATTTTAATCTCGTTTCTACGTTTCTTCCTTTAAAAGCTGATAGGGAATCTTATCCTGAGGCGACTGTTTGTATAAATAGCGCTCTCTAACAGCTCTCTAGTGTTTTTTTTTTTCTTCTGCGATTGCTACTTTATATATATATACATAGTCACTACTTCAAAGTGGTTCCGTAGTTTTTATTTATCCCCAGAGAAGTGGGTTTTTTTAACCACCGCTGGCATTTTGTTTTCATCGCTGTAACTGAAGCCGCACCACCTTAATAGTTTATGATGGAGACACTATGCAGAGCCGTAAAGCCACCCCCTATTTAAGTTTTCAAATAGGTATTTTAACTTAATCGAAACCGCAAAACGGAGCGGAAAAAGCCACCCGATTTTATTTTATACTGTAAAATAAGAAGTGGTTTAATCTACAGTAAAAAATAGAAAATGGTCGACGTGAACGGACTTTATTTCTGGGAAATTTATGGGATAAATTTTCAAAATTACACCCATAAAAGATGTTTAAGTGGCCCAAAAGTCGGTTAAATAGTTAACTGGCTTTTGGGCCACTTAAGTGCTACCAATCAAACTGGATTTTGTCTCTATAACTGTAACTGGAAGAACACAGCTACCCTTCTTTTTGATAATTGTCTCTGTTTTAAATTGAAGTAATTAAGAAAATTTAGGTGTATGCTTAAAGAATTCTTTATAAAATTGCTAATATTCTGGAATTTTAAGATTAGGAGGAGGGAGAGAAAATTAAACACGCTTCTAAGTGTTTTAGTTCGTTCAGAGATTTGCAAGGTGAGCAAAAAGTCACTTGACACCCTTATAAAATCGACAGGGAAGATGCTATGCCCACCATGGGCAAATGCGGCTCTTGCTTAAAGTGTTAATTTCTGATTATTATTATTATTTTTACAATTTTATTTCCATAATTTTGTGAAAATATGTTTACTAAAAAAATTCAATATTTGTTTATTATATTATATAATAAAACTGCAGTACAGAAGAAAAAAGTACAGGACTGCGGCTCCCATGCATTTTGCAATACCTACATTTCGCTCCCACTGAACTCTTGCTTGCCCACCCCTGTGCTATGCCGTCTGGTTGACACAAAGATGGTTGTCCCTAAGCATAACCTTCTCCTGCTGATTTTATAAGGATGTCAAGCAATTTTTAGATTGCTAACGTTTAACAATAAAAAAAACTTATAAATCTACATTTATAGCTTAGTTTAGAAGCTTATAACTCGTGCTGTTCGTAGAATTCTGTGTGTGTGTATATATATATATATATATATATTCTAATTGTTCAGCATAATGATTCTACTACTGTGTGTTACTGTTATACATACCGCATTTTCTAGGATTCAAATGTAGATACCTACGTAAATTTATGTTCTTGGAACGGAAAACCGATTGACACGTGTGTTTAAATGTTACGGAAGCCAAGAAAAATCTTTTCGTCTTGACATTAAGCATGCACTTAAGATAAACATCAATGATAATTAAATTCTATTTTATGATCCCTCTGTGCATCCCTAAACAAGAATGATGATTATTATAAGCTGTTTTATGCGCCCCTTTCGTGTATATGAAGGAATAATTAAATGTTTTGATACTCATAACTAGTAGTAGCATCATTTGACGATGATAAAATCATCATCATCATTTTTATACAGCCGCAGCGTCAGCCAACATGTGCTACCTTGGTTATGTAAGGTTCTAGTTACGTATTTCTCTCTGATTTATTTCTGGTCTCTTCCACTTAAACACCAGTTAACCCTCGTTTGTCCCCCCCGACTTCTAAGAAGAGTCGAATAGAATCTTGTGTTAGAGTGGCAACGACTAAAGTTGGTACATCTGAACTTATCAAGAGTGTCTTGGAAAATCAGATTTTCGTTCATATTAGGGGACACGTGTCAGGTCAATGAACTCGCCGTTTTTTTCTTTAAATTTTTTTTTTAAATCTTCCGGAAGGGGAACCAGGAAGAAGCTGCTTATAACACCCCCCATTTTGGCAACGATCCAGATGTCAAAAGTGTCACTAGTTCTGTCATATGTTTACTTTTATATTGGCCACCATCTGTCGTATCGAATATGAAGACATAACCGTATATTTTCCGAGCATGAATGGGGAAATGTGTTTTTTAAAACTTTATTTCTATCTTTTTATTGGTTTAGATAAAAATGGGGGATTGTGGTAAGCGGTTTCTTGATGGGTACGCTGTATTTTTCCAGTTGTAAATCTTACTACGGTTGAGAGTTTGTGGAGAACAAAAAGAACTCCGGTGACTATGTTTCTACTTTGATTACTTTAATGGACCGGAGCCAGATTTAGATGTGTGGCCTTAAAGCCCACCGGTGGCCGAATAACGTTACTGAACACTGGTGGTTTGGTCGCGGGTTCGCGCCCCACCAACGTGCTTTCTTCCAGCCACGTGGAGTTTCTTCACGTGTCTAACACCTAAATAGGAGCAACTTTCTTATAGAACCTCTGGGGAGACATTCCCCCTTGGCAGATCGCCCAAGTGTTGTTTTGCCGTATTCCATAAGACTAGACGCGTGGCCTTATGCTATAATATGAAGACCTCTTTCAACAAATAATAAATGTTACATAACACATACACCTTATTGCTGAGAATCATTTTACTGGTGATGGCCTGTTGATAAGGTTGAAAACGTTAGTTTAAAGTAGTAAAATGATTCTCAGCAATAAGGTGTATATGTTACACTCAGACTCATTGAATATTATATATGTTGAAGTGTAAAAAAAATAATAATTAAAAACTGGAGAGTCTAATTACTCAGTACATAATATAATATATAAATCAGGTACTGGCTAATAGATCTATATCTTCAAAGCTGCAGGTCGTAGTGACATCTGCTTTTCTTCAGAGGATCATTGGGATAAGTCTAGCTATCAAGCAACTAAGTAAGCAAACCAATGACACAGTCCTTTTCATATAAAACGGACTGTGTCATTGGTTTGCTTACTTAGCTACTTGACACCTAGACTTACCCTGGGTCTTCCTAGGTAGCTGGTGGTCTGCCAGATTTGTTATTGATATGTCTGTGATACCAATCATCTGTGTGTGTTCTCGATGCGCACTTGCTCATAAGGCAGTCTCTTACTGTCATTTATCGTGTGTTTTATTCCTTATATTTGTCTTATATCAGAGTTTATAGCTTATAAATATTGAATTTTAATAACTACCTTTTAAGACTTTCTCAAAATTCAAATCTTCGCATTTATCTGAAAGAAATTAGGCATTATTACAAACCATTTTTTTTTTATAGGTAAGAAAGCTATTTTAAGCCTATTGAATCAAAGCTATAGTGATCAGTACCCAGAATTTTTGTATTTAAGAACATTTAGCACGTGTCCTACACAGTGGTTTCTCTCCTATTATATGAATGTAAAGGATATTTCGAGATGAATAGCATCGGCTAACCTATTCATGTGTCTAAGCAGGATTACGTATTAAATACGTCAGCGGTTTGATTGATCGCTGGTTGTACGTAAATCTAGTACAGATTTATCGAGCGGGAACCTCTAAAAAGGTTCGACTAGTGCTATCGCTACAGACGTCGCATATGTAGCCTCAACGCGTCGCGTGTTAAGCTTGATGCGACGCGACGGACGGTCATAATAATGATGTTTTCCGAAATAAAACATGATGTATATTTGGATAAATTCTTGTTTGTTAAAATTTAACAAATAACGCAAGAAACGTTTTAAATATGTGTATTTTAACGGAAGCAGGAGAGATTTTTACATGATGCGCGCAACGCGTCGGGACCTACCTTGCGTTGTTACGTAACGCGTTAATCGTTTTAGTATTAACAATTACTTACGTTTTTATAACTTTTCAAAAACCTATTTAAAGGCATATTTACGTATAGTTTTAACAGAAACATAACGCAATAGCTTATTCTGCGAATTATATAACTTGAGAGCGACGCGACGCGAAGCGGAGCGAAGTTATCATTCTCGCCATATTAAGACGTTAATATTTGTTAATCCTGCATTTATTACACAAAATACACCTTTTAATTGTGTACAAAGTTTAATTTAAACGCATAAAAGTCTAATTAATGCGTAAAATGTTAAATTTTAGTTTTCTCGCGTCTCGTCGCTTGCTCATGCGAAGCGACGAGACGCGACGCGACACGTTTCACGCATGCGTACTTAGTCTCGGTTGGCAGACGAACTAAGCCGATAGAAAGTTATTATTTAAAACTTTAAAATTCGCGAAAATCTTTGTTTATTGTTGGAAATAGCCGAATTTGGCTTTGAACTTTAATCGAAACGCGAACAAATTAAGTAGTTCAAAGGTCAAATGTGTGACTTTTACCGTTTTTTTTTCCTTCTACTCCACTGACACCAAATCTAACGACAGGTTACGGCGGATCACGTGACACGATTGATCAACTACTATCTGGGTCACGGAGTCAATAAAATTCGAAATTCGGGAATTTACCCCATCCGGAAAATAATTTTTAGGATTTTTTACATTGGCGTAAACATCTGATGTTTATGTAATAAAATAGAATTAGTTTATTTCATATTTTTTACCAATCACTAGTAAGAGAGAGAGAGGTGAAAAACATCTTGTTACGTCATCATCTCTCGATTATTATTTTTTTTTTGAGTCGAAAATTAATTTATTTCATATTTTTTACCAATCACTAGTAAGAGAGAGAGAGGTGAAAAACATCTTGTTACGTCATCATCTTATTATTATTATTTTTTTTTTGAGTCTTGCACCAGCAACTTTCTCTCTCTCGCACCGCCACTCACAATTCACTTTTGTTGCATTGTTGAAGAGAGAAGAACATCTTAAACACAGGCCTGGCCTGCTTCCCACAACTGAAAGTTTGACCTTCTATAAAAGATATATTCATTGGACGAGATTACAGATCATGTGATGTCCTTAAGATCTCCTATATAGGAGTGAATGAGATATCAACTTTTAGGATTCGACAATGGTAAGTAGAGATATTGTCCATTGGAAATGTAATCAAAGGTTTCGAGATAGAAAGCTTTACTGATAGTAAATAGACTCTTTTTTTTTCTTTTCTTTTCCCCCTTCTTATATATATATATATATATATTTTTTACCGATGTGTNGCTATTAATTAAGTTATAAGTCGATGAAAAAGATGATTAATTTAAATACTAATTAAATTATTTTAATCTGCTTTGAATATCTGGCAACAGTGAATAATTCAGTATATTTTATCGAAAATTAAATTTTAAAATAACATTTTAACTAATTTTCGTATATTTATGCCGGATTATTTCTGAATGCGGAATATTTTATTTATAATTAAAGTGCAGAAAATTCCCGTTCTGCATTTGGAGTTAAAAGGAAACTTATTTAAATTCGCGACGACGTCACAAATTCAAATTTTTAAAAAAATTCGGATTGTTGTTATTACTTTTAGATTCAAATGACCTTTAATTCTGCGAAATTCTAATTTCATGGACTTGGGTGGGATCCACGGCTAATTAACTCCAGTCATATCACTCGGTGATGTTGAAAAATCATCACAAAGTTAGAAACGCGATTGGTTTTCTGTGGATTATAAATAAAACACGGCAGCGTGATTGACGTCGTCTTTTGTTACAAGCAGAAGAAAAAAAAATAGGGAGAGAATAAATCACGAGCCGAAAATATAACCGATCGTTTCCTGTTTACGTCAGATTTTCCGAACAAAATTTATCTATTTTGACGTTTCGTGTGAAATTTCGGGTTTGTCCTCGGTCTCAATGGTCTCATTCGAGATGCGATAAGAAAAGAACAGAGGCCAGAAAACATGGCGATCTTTAAATATTCTTACTGCCTCTTCCTTTATTTATTTAAACACGTGTTCGGCCAATGAATGGGCTACTGTATTCCGGAGATTTTTGATTGTTTATACTCAAAAAATGATAAAAATAAAGGGGAACAGACGAGGATGAGTGTGACGCTACGCCCTCCGAACAACAATCTTCCATCATTAATTGCGAGGTCAAAATACTTCATCGTGTCTGGGATCTTTCTAAAGAAAAGGCCGTAAACTTAAAATATATTAGGAAAAAAACAAAAAAAAAATTGACCTCGCTACGCCCAACACAATAGAAATTCTCTATAAAGGCGCTCTGCTGATCGTCGCAACCTTTAACCTTAAAATACAGGTCACTTCTAAAGCAGGTATTGAGCTCGTATATCATACATTATTTGAAAAGTATAAATTTAGAAATAATCAATAAACTGAAAGCTATAAATATACTCGATCCCGAACACAATTTTAGTATTCCGAGAATGGTAAATGGCATTTTTCTGTTTGGTTTTTAAACATTTACATTTATGTCGTTTAAAACTTCCTTGAAATATAAAAGTTTGTCATAACATATGGCACGATCAATCAGTATAATCGGAATTACATTAACGAGTCAATTAAAATCTCCGATAGTAAACACAAGCGGAGTTTTGTTTAGGTCACGAGTTAACTAACTCCCCGTGAGGCATTCTAAGAATCTTTACTTTTATAGAAGGCAGAAAATACGGAAGTCAAGAGAAAATGACGTCACAACTGGGAAATACCGACGCCATTTTTTTTTCCTCCTCGAGCTCTTTTTATTGTTTCTTTTCCTTTTATTTTACTTTCTCGTGTTGTAAACAGCGTAGGAAGCTCCGTATAACGTGAAGTAATTGATTTTATTAGGCCTATTTGGCTTATTCGTATCAACAGATTACTCGAAATCGATATCGTATCTTGACTTTTGATCTTTCTAGATGCAACGAGATTCTGCAAGAGCAACAAACGAGAAAATACGATAAAGAAATAACAATATGAATATAAATCATTTTTCAGGAACAATAAACCAAAAAAATATCATTTTTCAAACGAAAATTTACAATGACTATAAAATAAAATTTCGATGTCGATGATCGGTTATAGAACTTTTTTTTTATTGGTCATAAACTTGTCGTAAAAATTATAAATTTAAATATGTAAAATAAATAAATATATTACGGTTTCAATTTTCATAAATTTTAATATATCAGATAAATTTTAAAATATATAAATAAGGGCAATAAAAACAATAAAATATTTCAAATTTCCCAAATCCATAGAGATCAGTAGCACTTATATACGAATGGATTTTTAGAGTTTAAAAATATTTATTGCTATTTTTTTCCTTCTTCTTTTTATTATTTCGAAAGAAAAGGCTTCTGGCTTCTTTATATAAAAGCTTTTACTTTCGTTTATAGTTTATAAATTTAAAAAATTGAGTTTGAATTTTATACTTTATAGTAAAGGCTGAGAATTAGATAATGCCCGTATTAGAGTGATTTTTTAAGGCCTTATTTTCACTTATAAATTATTTTATTATTTTTTAATTTAAAGGTAATATATATTCAGTGTACTGTACGTAGTGAAAGGCCTACTTAGTACTTGGATTGCATTTATTGGTTTGGGCCAACTGCTTTCTTAGCCTTAAGTAGAAGGAATATATTGGAAAGGCTTATATTATATAGAATTATATGAAAGCTGCTATACTTGATCAGCGATAAAGAGCCTTATATAGAATTTATGATCTTTAAAATTAAATATTTATAAGTTTGATTTATTTGGATACGGCGAAGTGACACGTGGGCGATCTGCCGAGGAGGAAAGCTTTCCGAGAGGCCTTTTTATGGGAAACTGGCCCCTGTTTTAGGCGTTAAAAACGTGAAAAAATCCGGAAAACCTCACCGTTTGCGAGGAACGAACGGCCTGATCGTTCTATACGTAGGCCCTATAATACTGTATAAAATACAGGCCCGAGCAGATAAAATCACTTCTCGGGCAGTGGTGGGCCTATATTTTATATCTAAGCAAGTTTTTTTTTTTTTTAATTTCTTACATTTTCCTAATGTAAATTCCACTTACCACTTACCTCGAACGAATACAAAAATAGACGCCATTAAAAAATTTGAAATTCTTGTCCGTTATTACTGTTGTAATAATAAATAAATAAATGACCAAACTTAAAATATAAAATTTCAATTTAAGGTAAGGAATTTTATATTTTAAACGTCATAAAACCTTCATTTATAATTTAAACTTTAGCCATCATACTTTAATGCAATTGTGTGGGCCACAGCGAGTGGGCTGTTCTTTCGCTAGTCCTCATTGATTTACCGCGTATGTTAACTGTTAAGCCAAATAATTATTTAATTTTGACAACAAAAATCTTCGTCTTCGGCTTTATAACATGATTTTCAAAAGATTAAACACGCTTTTTTATTTTATTTTATCCTCTATTATGCACCGGAGCCATCTGTTTTTATGTTAAATCTCTGCGTAGAGAACTGCAAGTATCAATTACGACATGTCAAATTTATTATAAACCACGCACAAATATTAATATTTGCTTACTTTTTTTAGCTTTTAATGCGTATTTATAATGAAATTACTCATAATTTACGTCACATGCTAAAAAATTAGCATTATTTATGCAAATAGAATAGAAATATTTCAAGATTTCTAAGTACTTTACTACATTTTGATTTGTGTTATTCCTCCCTGTCGGCATTAAGAGAGAGCCCTTTATTGCAAGCCCATTGTGAGCGCGGCCAGGCCCCCAGTGGGGGAGGCCAGGTGGTGAGGTACAGTGCCAGGTTACGTGCAGTTTTCCGGGTTTTGTTCACATGTCTAACGCCTAAAAGGAGCCAGATTCTCATATCTCCACGTGTCTAACACCTAAATAGGGGCCAGTTTTCTATAGAAAGTGTTTCTTTGGTTGTACTACCCCTTGGCATATCGCTCACGTGTTGCATTGCCTTCATCCATCCCCTCTAACTGAATGTGAACGTTTCCTAAATTTTATAATATGTTATTTGAACATTTACTCACACTTTAATCCAAAATTTAATAATTTAAATGGGTTTTAAATGCAGAATATTAACTTAACTAAAACAATTAGTTTGCTATGAAAATTGTATAGCAGATTTAACACGTAGACTACGTATTGATTACTCCGCTGTAAAAGATAATAAATTATTAAAATATAACGATTTATGCGCTTAATTTCTTGAAATTATTAAAGTTTTTAAACAGATTAAGCGTATAAATCTTTTTAAAGTCATTTATGTAGTTTAAAATGACGCTAGAATGGCCCAAAAGACAGTTAACGTGTTTAGTTCGGTGAACAGTTTATAATGGGAATCGTAATCGAGTTGAAAACGGCAACTTTTTCTTCTAAAAACGCGATGAAAATATAATTAAATACTGTATTCGAATATAACAGTAGCCTACAGCGGTTAACCGAGTTTTGGCCCACGCTTTAACCTTCCAAATCCGTAACAAAATAAAATAGTAGTAAAGAGTTAGCCTTTACAGCGGTTAACCGAATTTTGGGCCATTCTTTTACCTTCCAAATCTGTACAAATTCGGACGAATGTCGGAA